TAATTTGCATGTTTATTCACTAGAAGAGCCTATTTAAAGACTAACTACGCAGGATATCCTAGCTATACATGACAAGCTTGCATGTTTATTCACTAGAAGAGCCTATTTAAAGGCTAACTACGCAGGATATCCTAGCTATAGATGACAAGCTAATGTCTACAAATCTTGAATTTACCTACAAATCATGGATTTATAGTAAAGATACTCTAATTAATACACATATATCTATAATCAATATCATTGTGCTTTAAGCTACCATATCCTGTATTAGCTTCAAATCTCTCTCATTGTCATCTATGCTTCCTCTGAACCTTTACATATCTTTGAGAAGCTACTAAGACATGCAAGGTAATTTTCTGGAACCTCTTCAAATACATGACCTTTTCCATATGGATTATGCTTTCTTTCAGACTCTGGTTCAGGTTTTACCATTGTATAGTGTATTCTCATTTAGTGTGATATCTCTGCTTTTCTGATAAGCCTTCAACTTTTGTCCATCCAAAAAGTGATTAAGCGGTATCTCACCTCTTATGAACCATAACCAATAAATATACACCTCTTGACTTTTATCTTAAATATGAACCTTATGTGTTGGACCCTTATGAGTTTATCCTAAATGGGTATTACACAAGAGTTGCTAGGGAGAATGAACCATAAGCAACACTCAAAACGCACATATTAAGGTACGACAGGAGAGAAGAACACAGGAGTCTCAGTCGGTATGTTTGATCGGTTGGAGTTAGAATGTAAGTTGGATGTTAGTACGAAATGGTAGCAAATTGCAGAAAAATCTAATCCACTTTGAAAACCAAAAATTAAAATAACAAACTTCCAGTTCATGGTACTTTGGGTGACTGATGATCTGCTCAACAGAAAAAACCCACTATTCCCACCACACATCAAGTTTCTTTGGGCCTTTGGTTCCATTTGTAATGCAATCCATTCTGATTGATATACACACTATCGATAAACCAGAATATCCGGATGAGGGATATAATTAGCCTACCAGTCTCCTTGTTGTCCCGCATAGAGAAAAAGAACAGTATACAATGATAAATTATACGTTGATTTGGCAATGAGATTCTCTGGCAGCAACTGCTCACCAAAATAGAAAACTAGAAGTTTGTTACCTTTAAGAGAAGAACTTTGGAACCCAACTAAAGTTGGTTACCTTTCTATATATGCAATTTTCCCCATTTTTAAAGGTGGCAACTAATCAATCGACTTAAATGGTTATCTGACTAGCTATTTTTCAGAGTGGAGGATATCATTTCCAGGTATCATAAAAGCAGCCTTGATGCAGAAGAGAGAACCACTCAAGAAGGGGATTGCCAAGATATGGTAAGAAATTTGTGATCTTTAATTTTGTGTTCAATCTTGATCTCACTAGATAACATGACTAATTGTTCCATCACTCAGGGAATTAACAACACGTGCACAAGATTCCAAACATGCAATGAGCTTCTAGAGTCAGTAAGAAGGTATACGTACCATGTTTGTGTTGAAGGTCATCACTAGCCCAATAGAATCATGTTATTGTCTAGAAGAAGTTAGCATGTTCTAGAATGATCTAGAAGATTCTAGAACATTATGGAAGACTATGGAAGACTCTGGAATATACTGGAAGAGTCTAGAATACTCTAGAACGAGATGGAAGACCCTGGAAGGCTATGGAACATTCTAGAACACTATGGAAGACACAAGAATGTCTATACTTATCTAGGACATTATAGAACATTCTAGAAACATATAAAAGCTTGTAATATATATAGAATATGGTAGATAGTTCTAGAATAGCCATGAATTTATGTAGATCTAGAAACTTCCTATAAGGAGGTGGAAACACCTATAAATAGGTGTAGAGCTCATTTGCTCCAAATAATCCAACATCCAAACTATCCAAAAAAAGCCTCCAAGTAAGAAAAGTGTGTAGTAGTCTCACAAAGTGTAAGGTCTTCTTAAGTGTCTTAATAAAAGTCTTGTTGTTTCCCATACAAAGAGTCGTGTTCAACAATCTGGTATCAGAGCCTGGTTTCTTGATAGTGAGAACAAGTGATTCTCGTTGTATCGTGAGTAGTTTGTAACTCTGCAAGTTTAGTGTCGAAACTAGCTTGTTTGGTATTACCGAGGTACTGCCAACACGATGGGTGATCTCCAAGTCGTCGGAGGAATCAAGAAACTCAACAACAACAACCACAAAACGTGGGAAACATGTATGAAGTCCTACTTACAAGGACAAGATCTATGGGAGGTCGTTGGTGGAAGCGAAACTACGCCACCAGAGGAAGACGTTAATGGTGCTTTACGCAAATGGAAAATCAAAGCAGGCAAAGCAATGTTTGCCTTGAAGACCACAATTGAAGAAGAGATGTTGGAGCATATTCGGGATGAGAACACCCCGAAAGAAGCTTGGGACACGTTTGTGACGCTTTTCTCAAAGAAGAATGATACGAGACTACAACTTTTGGAGAACGAGCTATTATCAATCTCACAACGTGACATGACGATTGCTCAATATTTCCACAAGGTCAAGTCGATATGTCGGGAGATTACTGAACTAGATCCACAATCCGTCATTGCAGAAGCTCGAATGAAGAGAATCATTATCCATGGACTGAGGCCGGAATATAGAAGCTTTGTTACTGCTGTACAAGGATGGCCCGCTCAACCATCACTTGTAGAGTTTGAGAATTTGTTGGCCAGCCAAGAAGCTATGGCTAAGGAAATGGGAGGCATCACGCTGAAGAGTGAAGAAGAAGCACTCTACACAAGTAAAAGTCGGAGGAATTTCAAGCCACCTTCTAAAGAAGGATACAAAAATGCTGACAAAGGGAAGAGTCAGCAAGGAACCTCAAAACCATGGAGATCTCAAAAGACCGACAATAAGAGTTCTCGGGGGAGGAGGTTCGAAGGCAACTGCAACAACTGTGGAAAGTGGGGCCACATGTCCAAGGATTGTTGGTCAAAGAAAAAGTCTGTGGAAAGCAATGTAGTAACTTCCAAAAAGGAAGTAGAGGATGAATGGGATGCTGAGGCACTATGTGCTATAGAAGAGAATAAGACTAAACGAGGAAGGCTAATGTTCGTGGATGCTAGGGTAAATGGAGGATTCACCAAGGCTTTGGTAGATACAGGTGCATCCCATAATTTCCTTGCTAAAGATGAAGCTAAGAAGTTGGGCATCAAATACACCAAAAATCCAGGTCGGTTGAAAGTCGTCAACTCTTTATCCAAGCCTATCATTGGTGTTGCATATGGAGTACCTCTTAAGATAGCAGAATGGGAAGGCACCATAGACTTGACAGTGGTGCATATGGATGACTATCGTATGGTATTGGGAATGGATTTTCTAGACAATGTACGACCCTGGTCATTTGAGAGAGATGATACCATGCGTATCACCAAGGGTTCAATAATTCACATTGTACCCTTGAAGATAAATAGGATTGGATCCCAAATCCTATCAATTATGCAACTCAACAAAGGTCTCAAGAAGAGTGAGGCAAAGTTTATGACAACCTTGAAGGAGGAAATTGTTCCCTCAAAGATGGACATTCCGAAGGAGAAGAAGAACATAATGTCACTAGGGTTACATAAAAACTCGCATCTTAGAAGAAAAGTGGAACATGTGATGGAGAAACCGGATAAGGCGAATAAGAAGAAAAACATATTAATTCGTAAGAGCAAAGTAAAATCTCTCAACCAAGCAACATCTAAACGAGATGATCAGATCAATAAGGGATCACGTCATAACATGTTAATATTACAGGAATTTTCCAGGGCTTGTAAAAGGGACACCCCACATGCTTACAAGTTCTCCAACGGGAGGCATAAGAAACTATATAAGAGAGTTCAACGGGGTCACGAACAATATTATGGTGCAACAAAAGGCAACCACGAATGTCGTTGTCAACTATGGAAACAATATACGAAGCAACGACTGCAACAACTAAGGAAAAACAAAACATGTGGAAGAGAAAAAGTTCTCAAGGAAGAAGTCAATATGAAACATATCAAGACTAATGACCAAGTAGCAAATGGAGTTCATAAAGGGTTAAGTACTGACAAATATGAGGGCTTTAATTATCAGCTCAACATGGTACAACGAATAGGGGCTAGTGCTGAGGGGGAGTGTTGAAGGTCATCACTAGCCCAATAGAATTATGTTATTGTCTAGAAGAAGTTAGCATGTTCTAGAATGATCTAGAAGATTCTAGAACATTATGGAAGACTATGGAAGACTCTGGAATATACTGGAAGAGTCTAGAATACTCTAAAACGAGATGGAAGACCCTGGAAGGCTATGGAACATTCTAGAACACTATGGAAGACACAAGAATGTCTATACTTATCTAGGACATTATAGAACATTCTAGAAACATATAAAAGCTTGTAATATATATAGAATATGGTAGATAGTTCTAGAATAGCCATGAATTTATGTAGATCTAGAAACTTCCTATAAGGAGGTGGAAACACCTATAAATAGGTGTGGAGCTCATTTGCTCTAAATAATCCAACATCCAAACTATCCAAAAAAAGCCTCCAAGTAAGAAAAGTGTGTAGTAGTCTCACAAAGTGTAAGGTCTTCTTAAGTGTCTTAATAAAAGTCTTGTTGTTTCCCATACAAAGAGTCGTGTTCAACAGTTTGCACTATATATATATATATATATATATATATATATATATATATATATGTGTGTGTGTGTGTGTGTGTGTGTTATGGAAGTTAATCTGATATTTTGACAGGCTTGATGAAAAAGGGAATGTCGTCTCTGTGAGTGACATGACAGAGCTAGAGGAGGAACTTAGTGCTGCTCTTATGCATACACGTGCTAGAAAGGTGTGATCTTCTAGCTCCCAATTATTCAAAGCCATCTCTCATCAAATTGTCATATAATTAGGTTCTCATTTCGTTTTTGTTTTCTTCTGTTGTGGTATGATTCCCTGTTCTGTTTAAATTGGAAAGTTATGAAACATAATTGATCTTTGAACAACAATTTAAATGGGTTCTGCTATCTTATTGAGTCTCTGTAGATTGACAAAACAATCTTTGTTTGCAGACACAGTTGATGATGGAGAGAATATCAGGCTTTCATGAACAGGTATTCATGATCATTGTTATCACCATGAACAAAGAATCTAAAAATTCTGTTGATAATTGTTCGTTATGGTCTTTTTTGACGATCATGACAACTCCTTTTTTGTCTGTTATTTATTTATTTTTTTTATTTTTTTCTGATATTTTTAGATGACTACTATCTTTTAATTAGTATGATTATATACACACACTCACAAATAATAACATAGTTTGTCTCAAATAAAATATGATTACATGTATTAACTATCATTTGTTGTTGGGCCAAGTTTTTTCTCTCCTGGGTATGTGACCTTGTATGATTATACATATGTATGTTGTTGAATCCCAAAATATACGAATAAATTACTTTATAAGTTTAGTACCATAAACTGGTTTTTGTTTTTTACATAAAATAACTGTCATATAAGGCAGTTAGGATAACGGCAACTAACTAATACCAATGGATTTAAGTCTAGATTATAACTTCTAACTTATGTGTATATTAATTTGTGAAGAAGATTTCTGATGATGCAAGATTTAAACAAAATATGAATCCAACATTAATATTCTTCATGTGCAGGAAAGGAAATTAAGCGACGAAAAGGAAGAACTGAAGCAGCAGGTAAATATCTTATTAATCTGGGAAAATGACTTAGGATCCCAACGAAGTTTTCAAACCGTTCAAAAAAGCTCAATCATGTTTTGTCTGTTCAAAAAACTCAACGAACTTAACATTTTGTCTAAAAAGCCTAACTAAGTTACATTTTCTTAAAAGTCAAATAAGATAAACAGATGATGTGACTTATTACCATATCGGGAAAATGACTTGTTAGACCAACAAAGTTTCCAAAATGTTTAAAAAACTCCAATATGTTTTGCCTGTACAAAAAAACCCTAATGAACTTAAACAAAACAAAATTGGGGTTTTCTGAACGGTTCGGAACTTTGTTTGACTTTTTAGACAAAATGTTAAGTTCGTTGGTTTTTTTTGAACAAACAAAGCATGATTGATGTTTTTTGAATGATTTGGAAATTCGTTGGGCTTTTAAGTCATTTTCCCTATTAATCTTGTGTAAAAAAGGAAAAAAAATCAAGTGGAAGAAGTGATGAAATGTTGGCTTATTTACAGCTACAGGTGGCATCAGCAGCAAACCCGAAAGATGATGTTGGCGTTGGTGGTCAAAGCGGAGGTCTCAACGACTCTGCTGATAACCAATATTGTGGCCAGACCACTCCTCCCCAACAACTTTTAACACTCCCTCTCTTCAAAGATTAATTACTTCCTACAAATAAATCAATATCTTCGGAGTTAATGGGAAATATAAACATGCATATAATAATTGAGTATATTGCTATTTATTCATCAAGTACCAGACATTATGTAGGCTGTTGTTGTACCATCCGAAGCTCAATTCTTTCACCAATAAAGCTTATCTTTGTTTGTCGACGAAGCTCCTACAGTTGGTGTCTTTTAGAAAGAGAAAGCTACGTACGATAACTATCATAAGTCCTGAAAGAGAGCTTAACCATGAAGAAACCTGCCTCCACTCTACATTTTTTTAATTGTATAATTGGTCTCTCATTTTAGAAAGTTGTGTATGCTGGAGAATGGGTATTAATCGAGAACAATCCACGTAGCATATATTAGTTGGTCCATGTGAACCAAACAATATTAGCCTAAATTTGCAGTATCCAGTTACCACTAGGGGTCGAGCATTAATTTGTCTTGTGCTTAACGTTGGTTGGTCCATGTGTCGTTATGTATCTAAACAACTCTTGAAAGGTTTTATAATATCATTAATATTTCCATTTCCTTGAAAGAAACGGTATAAGAACTAATCATGTAATTTCTCATAATTTAATACTAAACTATCTTCCTAATTATAAATATAAAAAGAGACCTAATATTTTTAGGGACATTAATGGAAATGGCCACAAGCTAGTATAAGTTATTTTATATGACCTACATTGTGATTACTTATTGAAATGAACTTGACTTCAGAATAGTCCATTTTTGAATTAGTCGGTATAAAAGTTTAGATTTCCATTTGCATAAAAAAAGTAATGAAATTCTTTTATCTATTCTCTTTCACCGGATCATGAACACCGTAGGTTGTTTGACTCAAAATTTAAAGTTTTTATTGTCATTTTTGAGAATGTTCATCAAATTTCAATTCTAGTATTTATCATATTCTGAATTTCAGAATATGTTCTTTTTGCACAACAAAAGATTATGTATGTCATATTTTTGTTTGATTTTTTTTTTTTTTTGTTTTTCTTATTTAAATGATAAGTATGTTCATTGAGGCATGCTATATTTTTAACGGAATAACATTGCTTGTTAACTTTGTGACCAAAAAATATACAATTCTAACGGTTATCTAAATCAAACGTAGAATATTGTTAGACTACTTGACTTCTATTTACCTCAGACTTAGACTTAGACTTAGACTTGATGTAGTGATCCTTTTTATGATCACGAATTCTGATTATGAAATGATTTAGTGAATCATGCAATAATGATGAACACGAAGACAACAAGGATGTAAATAATCTCGTTTTAAGCTCTCATTAGTTTAGAAAGTATTACAAAGTGGGTCATGCAATATTTCTCTCACTAGACTAATCGCTCATAAGTTCTTACACAAATGAGCGTCACTCACTTCCTAATTATAGGAAAGACAACTCATTACACACAAACAAAAGAGTAAGTTACTAGAAGCATCCAAGCATGACTTTGCACCCTAACATTCCCCCCCTCAAAGTTAGGATTGGATGTCTCGATTTCATTTTCTACACGAGCTCGCGCGATAAAGACCAACTCCCCCTCGAAGTAACACCGGTCTTCAAATCCGCAAATGAATACCCGAGAAGCTTAGAACACTATTTCTTCATTCTCATCATTTTTATAATCAATAGGTGATTATAAAATCCACTAAGGTTGAGAAGCGTCCGAGGAATAAACTTCACAAATCTCCCCCTCAATGTGTGCCAAAAATGAAACCGCGAAAAATTTGCATGAAAAGCAATCACTAAAAAGTCATGAAAAAGTTCCACTTTTTGTGAAAATTTTCAACTTTTAGGTGGGAGTTGCAAGAATTCTGAAAATCCGGGTAAAAACTGTCAATATCAAAATCTGCAGGGACCTATTACGCTAAAAAAGCCTAAAACGCGAAACTTTACCCCAATTACAAAACTGGACATAAAGTGTCAATTCGGATAAATTGCAGGCACTCGATACGGAAATTTTCCCATTTCTCATAACTTTTAGCCCAATTGAGAAATGGGGTAAATTATGTTATTTCATTGAAACTTTAGGGATGCAAAATGAAAATTCTTGATTCTTCACAAAATTTTTACACCAATTTCGAATGTAGGAGACATTTGCTGTAACACTCGATTTCAAATCATTTTGTTGTTCGGGGCCATGGCACGGTCATCAGTTATCATAAGGTTTTAGGCCTTGGGCAAGAAAGGATTTATCCTTTTTGGATGTGGGGATTATAGTCTAAGTGATCTGGGTGTTTGTTTGTGTTTCAGAGCTCAATGGTATAATTGTAATTTGGAATCTCGATCCTTTATGAATTTTGGGTTTTGTTCAGAATGTTCTTAGGTGAAGGTGAGTTGATAGAAGTGTAGGGCTTCTCGTTACCTTTCTGTGGATATAAAGTTCGTTGGAAACAGACTTATATCGAAGAAGTTATGGCCTTCAGAAGTTTGGTGGTTTTTGGGCTTAGTTGGGTACGCGGGGCATACATAGGTGTACGCGTAGCGTACTAGTGAAAAGGGCAGTACGTATGGTGTACTTCGGTGTACGTTGGGTGTACTGATCAGATTGGTCGCGAGTGCTCTATGAAGTATGCTGGGCATACCATATGTACGCTGGGCGTACTCTGGTAAGACCCAAAACCTATTTTAAGGTTTTGGACACTATTTAAGCTCCTTATCTCATAATCTAACCCTAATATCTTTAGCCTCCATCCCTCTAAACCCTAGAAATCAACCCTTAGCCCCTATTTGAGTGATTCTTGAGCTTAAAGTGATTTATGTGTGTTTTTGGTGCTTAAGGAGGTAGAAGGAACTTCTTGGAAAGCCATTGCTTGACTTGGAGCTTTTGGATCCAAGCTTTGTTCACCTAGATCTAACTTTTAGAGGTATAAAGTCTCAACCTTGACAACTCTTTCTTGTAGAAGTAGCTAGGTGGCACTTGGTTATGATTTTGGTCCCTTTGTGGTGGTTCTTGTGAGTAGAAGTCACTCCACAACCTTTGAGCTTCATTTTTGGCCTTTGTTAGGGTTATGGAGTCATAAAGTTTAGATCCTGATGAGTATAAACCTCCACTGCATGATTTAGTAGTCTTTTGCTGAAGCTTGGGACTTAGGGTTTTGATTTGGGTCCCATTAAGTCATGCTAAGTCATAAAGTCAGGAACTTTATGACATAAGAAGTCCCTTTGATTCAAATCTAGAAGTTTGGACTAAGGTCTTAAGGCATTAAGAAGTTCTTAAGACATTTTGGAGTAATTTTGACCTTCAGAGTTCATCTTTGGTGTTGAGCTTCATTAATCCATGCAAAGGTTTAAAACCTTCGACTTTATAGATCAAGTCACTTAAATTTAGCTATTATGAGGTTTTGGACGTATTGTCTTAAGGGATTAAGACATTTCTAGGTTGGATGTGGTCATGGTTAGTACGTGGGGTGTACCTTCTCGTATGCGGGGCGTACTAGGATTCTTGGGCGTACGCTTAGCGTACCCACTGAGTACACGAGGCATATTCGGTCAAATGAGGTTTTGCATTTTGGTCCTCAAGTTTGGGCTTGGGTGTTTGAGTTATTAATGGGCCATCTGAGTACAAGTGTTTTGGACTAGGAAGAATGGTTGGGCTTTACGGTAAGGACCATGTAAGGGTTTAGATCGAATTTGGAAAATTAGGCCATATTTGGGTGTTGGTTGATTATTTGGCATTTGAGTCTTGCAGATTGTGAGTTTGGGCCTTAATTTTGGACCAATCTAGGTTAGGGGTAAAATGGTCTTTTTACCCACAGTATGGATTTATGGTTATGGACTGGAACCCAATCATTAATTAGGTGTTGTTTTGATATTGATAGTTCTGGGTTTGGTCAGCCATCAACCAGATATTTATCCGCAGGATCCAGCAATGCGAGATGAGTCTTCTCACTATATCCATGGGTTGAAGGCACCAATGTTAGCCCATTAAGTGTTATGTGGAATGCTATTTGCTCTGTGATACTTGCATGAAAGACCATGAAGGGAGCCTATGGCACTTGGATATTAGACCATGGGGGGAGCCCATGGCATTCTAGGCAAAGACCATGAAGGGAGCCCATGACACTTGAATTCTAGACCATGGGGGAATCCATGGCATTCCAGGTAAAGACCATGGGGGAGAGCCCATGGAAGCTATATCTATGTTGCATGATATTCCATGGTTGTATCTTATGTTGTATTTTTGGGGAACTCACTAAGCTCTGTGCTTACGGTTTCCAGTTTATGTTTTAGGTACTCCGATTTTCAAATGGAAGGGCTCGGGATGATTTCAGAACACACACCAGGGGCCACCAAGATGTACCGGGATTTGAGATTGAGTTATTGGTATCCATACATGAAGAGAGAGATTGCTTGGTATGTTAAGGGGTGCTTGGCCTACAAGATGGTCAAGGCCTAACATCAGAGGCCGCATGGAAAGTTGCAGCCTCTGGAGGTTCCCATGTGGAAATGGGAGCAGATTTCGATGGATTTCATCATCAATTTGCCAAGGATGACAGGGGTTTGGATGCTATTTGGGTCATCGTGGATCAATTGACCAAGAGTGCCCCTTTTCTGGCAATTCGGGAGTGCTCCTCGGCCGAGAAGTTGGCCGATGTGTATATTCGCAATATCATTGTTCACCATGTGGTTCCACTCTCTATTGTTTTAGACCATGATGTTCGGTTCACCTCCCGTTTCTAGCAGAAGTTCCATGAGGAACTAGGCACGAGGTTGCATTTCAGCACAACTTATCATCCGCAGACTGACGATCAGAGTGAGCGTAACATTCAGAATCTCAAGGATATGTTATGTGCATTTGTTATTGATTTTGAAGGGAGTTGGGACTCCTACATACCCCTTGCAGAGTTCTCCTACAACAACAAGTTTCATTCCAACATTGGTGTTGCGCCTTTTGAGCTGTTGTATTGGTGGAGGTGTCGTACCCCAGTCAGTTGGGGTGAGGTTGGTCACTGGGTCATGGGTCGGGCCGAGGTGATTTTTCAGACTACATAGATGATTCAACAGATCAGGCAGCGATTGCAGAGTGCTCAGAGTCGGCAAAATAGTTATGCCAACCCGCGCCGATCTGAGTTGGAGTTTTAGGTCGGTGACATGGTGTTATTGAAGGTGTCACCCTGGAAAGGTGTGATCCGCTTCAGGAAGAGGTGAAGGTCTCACCCTGGAAGAGTGTGATCCGCTTCAGGAAAAGGGGAAAGTTCAGTCCCCGATACATTGGGCCATTTCAATTTATTGCCAGGGTCGGCAAGGTGGCGTATAGATTGGATCTTCCGGAGGAGCTCAATCAGATCCATAGCACTTTCCACGTTTCGCAGTTGCAGCAGTGTGTATTGGATGAGGATGCGGTTGTGTCACTAGATAAGATTCAAGTGGATGGTCGCCTGAATTATGTTGAGAGGCCCGTAGCTATTTTGGAGAGAAAGGTGAAGGTTTTAAGGAGAAAGGAAATACCTTTGGCGAAGGTATGATGGCTGCATCAAAGGGGATCTGAATGGA